AAAGATGGATCCCACAGCCAAGAGGGCTATTGAGGGTTAGAGGGATGCGATGAGAAGGGAGGGCAGAGAAGGAGGGGAGGGGTGATGAGGGCGGGCACCGAGGGGGTTCGAGGGGCGACCGTGGGCTCTCGACATGGAGAAACGGCGAGGAGCGGGGTTTGGTTTAGTGCACGGGAAGCTTCAAGAGGAAGATGCGGGCAGCTAGCTTTTGCCTGGCGAATAGGTCTGATGGAAGCCGTGTGCTGGTTTGAAAAAAAACAGAGTTAATGAAGCATGGAAAGTAGCTACTTAAAATGTTTCAGGGAGACCATTTCCCGGGGAGGAGGGAGCGGCGTTGCAGAGAGAGACGCGGCATTTTAGGCTGCTGAGTGGCTTGGGCCAGGTTGGGGGATACGGAGGAGGTGTAGGAGGGAGCGTAATGAGTTGAAGGGGACAGACAGGGTTAGCTGCTGAAAAGCGGAGAGAATTGAATGGGCACGTTGGTTTGGAGGGGTGTTGGTAGCATCAGACACGATTTTGGAAACGGATGACTGCACGGAGGAAAGGGGCTGGAAGGATACTTGGGGAGGAGGTAGTCAGACAGAGGAGGTGTTCAGGAATCTGGAGATGGATTTGGTAGATATTCTTGGGATGGAGGACCAGGCAAGAGAAACCTCAGGCGGTGAAGAAGTGATCTGTACAAACACGGATGAAAAGGAGAGGAGGATAGGAGAGTGTGCTGTGAAAGCAGGCCCTAACAATGAAGAGCAAGGAAAATCCTGTGAATTAAAGCAGTAGGAGCTGGTGAGAATGGTTGGAAAAGCCAGGGAAGGAAATTAAGAATTGAAGGGGAGACCTGACGGTTGATCTACAGTAGAAAAACGAGAGAACCTTGACAGGAGAAGATAGGCCAGTTGAGGCACAACAGAAAGAGGTGGTAGAAGGCTACGTTTAAGAAAATTGTTTTAGCTTTGGAAGACAGAAAGATAGGACTGTAACATGAATAATAAGGAGGATTTGGAAATTGATCCATAACAGGTTATTTGGGAAAATTACCTGGGGTATAAAATTAATGTAACATTTATTGTTGATATGTAGCTTAGTTGTTGCCTATCTTCATCTAAAATCTGATCTTTCAGTATACCAGCACTCTGATTTAAAAACTGTGCCAAAATATTACCTTTTTAATAGCTATACATGCTTCAGATTAGTTTAATTAGAACTCAGCTTCTCACTTTGTCAAATCAAGTTCTCTGAAGAGGAAGAACTGAAGGAAAATACTAAGAGAAAATAAAGGGAAAATCTGCTGATTAGAAGATTGTATAATTGTTAGTAACTTAGTCTTTAAATAGATGTTTGGTCTTCTTAATTTAGGTTAACTGCTTATCCTGGAAAGTATTCTTTTTAAAAAAAATATATTTTATTGATTTTTTACAGAGTGGAAGGGAGAGGGATAGAGTTAGAAACATTGATGAGAGAGAAACATTGATCAGCTGCCTCCTGCACACCCCCTACTGGGGATGTGCCCGAAACCAAGGTACATGCCCTTGACCGGAATCGAACCTGGGACCCTTTAGTCCAGTGGTTCTCAACCTTGGCTGCACATTAGAATCACTTGGGAATCTTTTTAAAATCCTGATTTCTGGGCCTCATTCTCTGGAAATTCTGTTTCTTTGTTACGGGGTGGGGCCACTGCTTTAGTCGCTAGGCTGACGCTCTATCCACTGAGCCAAACCGGTTAGGGCCTGGAAAGTATTCTTTAGAAAGAAGCTTCTTTATACTATTGTAAAGAGAAGAGCATATGTTGGTGAATTTTATGTGGTCGTCAAGTGGCTTATTTTTATCTGTTTTTTTTCTCTTCTTTCTTATTGGAACATAGGCAGGCCTCCTCTAAGTCTAATGTTAGTGATAATATAGACCCAATCATAAAGCTGGAAGAGAGCTCTTGAAATGATCTCATCTCAACATTTCACTGTATAGCTGAGGAAACTGAGACTCAGAATTCTGTATTCTGTAAGGTAAACTAAGGAGCAGGGGACAATATTTCTTCTTAATAAATGACAAACTGAAACTCACATCTTCATACTGAGGTATCCTAGAAGCTTGGTGGTAGGGCTGGCGGCTAAGGACTAGAACATGGGTTTCTTTCTTTTTTTATTTTATTTAAATATGGAACGCTTCATGAATTTGTGTGTCATCTTTGCTCAAGGGCCGTGCTAATCTAGAACATGGGTTTCTTAACTCTTGAGACCCATTGTGGTTTTTTTGGATTCATACTTGTTATCTTGGCAATATTTAAATTGAGTTGTGTATCTTTCTTCTTTGCAAATACTCTGGGATTTAGTTTTTTTCCTGGGTCCTGATTTATGAAGTCTCACTTACACCAATTTCAAAGCATCCTTTATTTTTCCTCTACTCACTTGCTTTTTTCTTATCTTACCACTTTTCCCACTTTCCCATATATCTCTAACTTTAAAGTTGGGCCTGTTTCTTTGCCAATTTCTTACTTACTCTTTTAACTATTTTTCATAATCTTTTGCCCTCAGTTTTACTAACTTTATTTAGATGTATGCATATTCTGGATTTTGAATCATAGAAATACATTTTCTTCTCCCAGGTTATAAAATAATTCATATATGTTTTTTGTTTTGTTTTTTTCAGGACCAGTAGGGTTTCTTTTTTGCACCCATTTCAAATTTATCTTGATGTGCAAAGTGAGGAACAGAGCCAATTTTATCTTTATCCACAGGCTGTCCAGTTATTTTTAAAACCTTTTGTTAAAAAGTCCTTTTCCCATTATGTATTTCACCTAAAAAAAATAATGCATTTCTCTACTGATTAAAATGACATCTTTATTATATACCAAATTTCCACATAGATTTGGGTTTATGAAGTTTCTTTTCCTTTTTTTATGTGCCACTGCTACACTTTTAATTAGGCATCATTAATATGTATTAGTACATGGTAGAGGTAGGTTCTCCCTCATTTTTAACATTTTCCTGGGTCCTCTTATTTATTCTTACAAATAAACTTTCTAACCAGCTAGACTAGTGTCAGAAAAAAAATCTTGATATTATTTTTATTGGGACTATATTAAATATATAAAATAACTTAGAGTAAACATTTTAATGATGTTGAATCTTCCTTAAAGACATATATATGAATTTCTTTTGAAGGAAAATATTTCAGATCCCAAATATAGGGAAAATGCCTTATGTATGAGTAAACCTCATATTACTCTTATGTAATTATAAAACTCAACAAATTTACTGTTTAAATACAATTAAACACACAAAACTCCCTAAATTAAAATTAGCAACATTACATTCATGTGAAATAATTTACTGTTAACATTTATCTATTATTAATAGGAAGTTCTAGAGTTAATCTAGTCATTCAACTGATCATTCAGGACCCAGACTTTTTGCACCTTTCTTTTGCCATTCTTAGAAATATTGGCTTTTCCGTCTCTTGTTTTCACCTTATGGTTGCAGGATGGCTGCTGTAACTCCATTTGCATCTTACCTTTATTCTGTCTTTCCAAATAAAAAGGAAGGGACAGGGGCAAAGGCCATTTCCTATATAAACTTTCTCTCTCTCTCTCTCTCTCTCTCTCTCTTTCTCTCTCTCTCAACTTCCCAGCACATTTTCCCTAAGTCTCATAGTCTAGAACAGCGGTTCTCAACCTGTGGGTCGCGACCCCTTTGGGGGTCGAACGACCCTTTCACAGGGGTCGCCCAAGACCATCGGAAAACACATATATAGTTACATATTGTTTTTGTGATTAATCACTGTGCTTTAATTATGTTCAATTTGTAACAATGAAAATACATCCTGCATATCAGATATTTACATTACAATTCATAACAGTAGCAAAATTACAGTTATGAAGTAGCAACGAAAATAATTTTATGGCTGGGGGGGTCACCACAATATGAGGAACTGTATTAAAGGGTCGCGGCATCAGGAAGGTTGAGAACCACTGGTCTAGAACTAGTTCACATGTCCTTCCTGAGACCAATCACTGGCAGCATGGAATGTGATTACTATTACTGATTGATGTTTAATTCTGATTCATTTCCTCGGGCTGGAGGAAAGATAACAAGGTATCTCTACTACCTACTGAAACAATTTGGAATTCTGTTAGGGATTAGAGACTGGGAAGTGGGGAAAGAATGTAGAGAGTTAACAGCAGCTGCCTCAAGTCCTGATGTTAACAAGTGGGGGAGACTGATCTTCTGACTTCAGATTCCCTACTGTTTTCATTATATAGGACGTGACCCCTCCTCTCCACCCTTTCCCACTTGTGCCAGGTTTGAGCCCCTTGACCTGAGCACTTCTGAG